CGTGGATTGAAAAATTAACAGCAATGAAACAGATGTGCGTTGCAGGTAAAGTTAGATATTAGAACAATCTGTTTAAATCTAGCTCATGATGTTTTACCCTGGTGAATATGATTCAACCATATATGATTAAAAATATATATTATGTATGTGTTACTACTTTGCAATGCAACATTTGTCCTACCATATTGTAGCGATTTATGGGTCTTTGAATGTCAAACGAGATCATATACTATCAGTAAAATTACGTAATTGTCTGACCCAAAATATAGCCTAGCCATAGCTTTCGCCGAAAATAACTTCGGCCCCTTCGAATATATCGTCTTTGTAATAGTCTTTGTGTTATTTGCAAGTCTGTATCTTCAAATTTGCATATTTTATCACGGTATTTCTATTTCTGGTCTGACTGTGAGCTCGAAGTGAGCTAATCCCAACCGGAAATACGACTTAAAAACGTCAAAATAATGCGACGTTTGTATCGCATGACTCTGCAAACGCCAGAAATGGTTCTGCAGGTCAAAGTGCACCTACATGTATACGCGTGAATTCGACGTCATCCCTGCTACAGCAACTTCTTATTGGCCAAGTATACTGCGTGACACGTGCGTGCGATTAAAACCCGATATCTTGAAAAATTCAAAATAAGCATTCTACTCGCCGTGTTCGAACGAAACTTTCTACACGAAAGCGCTTGAATACGAAGAGAGTTTTTACTCTTGTAGTCTTTTAGAAAATGACGAAAATTTAAAAGATATTCAACATTTTCTCGATAATAAATACATAATGTTTGGCCAAGCAGTGAGTAAATATATGATTGTTTCGGTTTGTGTAATGTTTTGACGGCACTTGACCCCCACCCCGTTCGAAAGGTTATTTTGCGGTGAGGATTTCAATTTTGACTTTCGTTTAAAAGGCGGGGGGGGGGGGTAGATACTCGTTGAGATATTTAATTAGAGAAATTGAATCGTAATGTAATTCGAAACCGGCTAATCGAGAAAGAGTTTGGACGTTGTTATTGATGTCTCGCTAAGACGAAGATTGACGAGTTTAGCTCATTTTAGATCATTTACATTCAATTTTAATTTCCTCTTATGAATTGTCCATGTTTCGTTTTCCAAGCAATTCCCAACGGTGGAAGAATGTGATTTTGACAGGCAGTTTTTATTTGAGGAGTATGTGGCCATTTCTCATCGTTGCGATTTAAAAAGAGAATCATTGAAAAGCTAAATAAATTTTCTTTCGCCTTATGTAAAAATTGAATTGTTTAGCCACGTTTATGATGCACGACACCTGTTGAATTTTCATTGCGTATTTTTTTAAATTTTAGACACCCTGCATAGGCAAGCTTGATATGTAAAATCATACAAATCATACACAATTTTATAGGCATTCTTTCAAATAAGACAAACTCAATTTCTTATTGACAATGTGCTTTAAAGTACAATCAAAAGCAAAATAGTAACATTAAAATGATTTAATTAGTAGTTGAATCAAAGTACAAAGTTTAGTGCAATTTCTAAAAGTTACTTAATCGTTCAAAAAGTACTCATTTAGTTTTTGGATTTCAGGACTGTCAAAATTTGAAGTCCATCAAAGTAGACACAACCAAGTACACAATTATAAGGCTAGATCACCAAATAGCTATCGTTCCCATTCTTGTCCCACTAATCTAAAACAATTAACAATAGTCCAGGGTTGGTAAGTTAGATGAATAATGAGGCCAATTCGTCATTAGTGCCGTTTAGAAAACAAAGAAAACAAAAGGCCAAGACAAAGAAAACAAAGGCCTAGTGTGACTGTGTTTGGCCTAATTATTCAACAAGCCTACAAACCCTGCACAATACTTTACCAAGTCCCTAAGATTTGAAATTCTCTACCCTCTTGTATACGAGACTCACCCAGTCTTTCCTTATTCAAGAAAAACATGATACAATTCTTCTTAAGCTAAATGACAATGCTGCCATTTGTAATGAGTACCTTAAAAAAATAAAATATCCTAAATCTGCATAAAGAGGCCTCACTCGATATATAAGCCTTACGGTTTCATGAGGTCTCCTTGTCTTTACTACCATGGACTATACTGTATATATATATATCTCGTATCTTGTATGTCAATTATTTCTTTTTTCCTGTTGTTCTCTTCTTGCTACGGGCATAAACTTGATATGCGGCTTTGACGCCACTCTCCAAGGCTCCTTGAATCCAACCAGCGGCAAATCATAAAGTTTCTCCAGCGAAATGTACGTTACCCATGGGTTCCCACAAAGTTCTAAATTAGGAAAAAATAAAAATAAAAATAGATGGATAAATTATACATGTATTATATATTATTTAGCGCGAAGATTGTCTCTCTAATCGCACAAACTCGGTCAATAAGTTGTCTATTGTTGTCTCTGGTATAAAAATGATATTTTTAGGAGTACAAATTATTGTTAATGGACGATACTCAACGCACTAGACCTGAGAATTATAGATATAAAATGTGTATGTTAAGCCTACCTGAAAGAACTATTGTCTAAACAAAGAAAGACTCTAGCTATCACAAACTCTCATTATTTGCTCGCCAAACCCGTAGGCTACTGCACCCAGTATCATTTATTAATTATTGTCCAAACCACTATATATGTTTGACCTATATTCATAACTATCACAAAGAAACTATAGTTAATGAAATTATAGTTAGACTCATCCCATCATTTCATCTCACAAGCATTAGGAATTATAATTCTCCTCTGATTCCTACCTGATATTGTTAAACTGACTGGTCTTCATAAAGCCAAAGGCACCTTGGTAGGAGGGCTGGTTGTACCAAGCATGGACGATAGATTTTTCAACCATATTTTCCTCCATGATTTCTGGGTGGATTTCTGCTATTTGTTCAATTGCCTCCTGTTTGACTTGGTCAGGCCTCAAGGAACCAAAAATCAGTGCATCATTGTTCCAAACGTAAACCATAATTATTCCTTGATTCGTGGACTCGACATATTCTGGGTCCGGCTTGACGTAATGAATTTGCCCGATAGGCAGATTGGTCTTGGAAAAGCCACCTTGGATATTGTAGTCTGCGTCCTCCCAGAATCGTCTTTGGGTTTGCAGGAAGATCTTGGTGGACGGTGCGATAGTGAGGTCATCGATGGCTTGAAGACACTTTCGCTGTTCATGTTTAGCATTTCCGCCCTGACCAAGTGGTTCGAAAGTGAGTTGTCGCAATATGTTCACTGTTGTGGTAACAATGACGGCCTGTATCAAAACGAAACAAAGCTCTTATCAAATATATGTCACCTTGAAATAAAGTATAAAATAAACATACTCCAAAAAAAAGTTCCTCTTCAACTCATCAAGTTATCGGCTGGAAATGCTTGGATATGCCACCTTATATTATATTTTGTAGAGGACAGCTTATTTAAGGTTATTCTTTTTCGGAAGTTGTTGTTGCTTTATCAAGGCAATTTAAAAATTCTTCAGTTGTGTTGCATAAAAAAGGGATCGACTTAATATTAATTTATACTACATACTGTCAGTACTATATATGCAGGGAACGCAGAGCGATTGCATTTTATATAAATTCTTTGTAAAGAACTTTAAGCCTGGAAATTATACGGCCAACTATCACCTAGTGATAGGCCGATATATTCCTGAATACTAAATTTGAAGAGATTCGTGCACGCGTGTGTACAAGAAAAGAAACAATTACACAAATCAGTATAGGTAACAACAGCATCAAGTTAATCGTCACTCTGGTCTGATGTATATATGGTCCCCTCTGTCCTATAGCAACTTTTGCTTTTCTACTTGATATAGTATAGTCTATCAAAATATGATAGTATGGAAACTGAACAGAATTGATTGGTAATATTTTTGTCTGAATATATGTTAACTTGCGCTCGATCACCGTGATTGAGCTCATTGTCTTTTCGTATAATTAAATAATCATCCAACAGGGATAGCTGAGATAAAACGTGAACAACAATTAATACTATTTAGTAAAGTTAAGACAAAAGACTTGTGTACGGTGAGGTAAAAAACTCTTTTATTTTGTGGCTATAGCTTTAAGATTTGCCGGGCATCCCGATCATCATAACATGTCATTTTGGAATCATACAACTCGTCGTTGCTTTTTGAAAGTTTTAAAATGTTTTCAGAATTTGGAAAGGCATAACATTGCAAAAATTCAAAAGCAACAAAATATCAGGAGTGACTTTAATAGATTGTATGGTGTATAACTCTGCATTTTAGAGATGCATTACTAATTTGTGGTGAGGCATACGCACAACCTGTTGATTACGATTAGGGTTTTGAACTTACTTTTTGTATAGTGGGCATCTTCAGATAACCTTCTATATATAAAGCTAGAATCCACCATTATAGTATATTATTCACTTTACTGCTTCGTGAATAAACTTCCCATGCAAACAAAATATGCATGTTTATAGACAAGGATGCCGCTGTTGTTTAAATTATCTGGGAGAAATGCCAACCCATTCTCCACTTGCACAGCCCAGCAAGAGCTGGAGAATTGGAAAGGTTCCAACTCATATGGGGAGGTGGTGTGCATGGGATTCACTCCAAGAGCATTTTTCTATATTTACGCCCGTATTCTAAAAGCTTACTCGCACTCACACTCACACTCAATGAGTGGAGGTTCAATCTGAGCTTCGCTTGAGTGTCAATGATGTTTTTGAATACCTGGAGGTTAGTGTCGTACCTTACTATGTGACTACTCACCCTCCAGCTATTCAAAACCAGCATTGACACTCAAGAGAAGCTCAGATTGAACCTCCACTCATTGTGTGTGAGTGTGAGTAAGCTTTTAGAACACGGGCGTTAGCCTCTGGGGCTTACTTTTCTGCATTCGCAAACTCTGAGTTTTCAGTATAAAATCGAGGTTTGATTATTAAGGGAATACTAGAAAATACATGCAGGCAGAAACCCCTCGCCTTTCTGATAAAACCATTGCATTTTCCGAACATGAAATATTTCAAGTAGTTGTCATAGTAACACGACAATTTTCTTAAGACTATTTTTACAAATGAAAAATCCCCTAAAAATATCACTTTTAATTACAAAATTATCAATTCCCCAAACATACATATGTTAGGTATGTTATTATACGTAATATAAGCTTCAATTTAAGGTAAAATTTAACCTCAAACGCTTCGCAAGAAGTTTTAAAATGTTCTTTATAAAACTAAATTACCTTTATCGAAAAACTTTGAGTTTGAAATAAAATGATTTCAAATTCTTGCATTCAAACAACTTTGCTTTCTTTTTTACTTAAACATTTTAGTATAATAAAAAAGGGTAATCAATAAAGAAACACTGAAATTATATCCTGTCTTTTTCATTTAAAACCGTCACCGCAATGATCAGCTTTTAAAGCGATTATAAAGCGAACAATTGATCAATATTTAAAACAAACCTACCTTCGTTAACGTCGGCGCCTTTACTCCCTTCTTTTAGCTTTTCTTTCGCCTTTATTTTCTTAAAAAGCTTTTGAAATTATTCACAAAATCTTGCAAACATGAATTAGGGACCGGTCATAAAATTCTACCATAAAATTTGCCCCCCCCCCAAACAAAAAGGGTCGGAAAATATTTAAAACCCCTCTCAAAGGAGATGAAACGTTTCGTATCCCCCCCCCCTACGCAATTTCCAAGCAACCATGTATTTTTCTGTTTATTATATAAAGGGCAGTCTTTGAAAAGCGATAACTTTTACAGAAAAGCGATTTCGAAAAAAAAATTTTCCTGCCATCCAGGGAGAAAGAAAAAAAATCATGCAGCATACAATCGAGAAAAAAAATATCAGGCAAAAGAGAGCGCTCAAAAAAAATTCCTACATGTAACTCTACTGACGCTCTTCACTTCAGTATTGTGTCCACAGACTTGCAAGATATTGCATTTTTGAACAGGCACATTTGCTTATAAAACACGGGGTGAACAGTGGACAACATCACAGGGATTCAACCTCCTTTAATTTGGAGCCTATAACATACGATAGCCAGTGGGGTTCCCTGCACGCTTTAGTGTGGGGAACATTAAGATATAATCATGTAAAATAAAGCGCAGTGAAAATTCCTTGGCCCCTCTTGGGATTCAGTTCTCGGCCTCCTCTGATGAAAACCCCGGCTACGTCTCTGACGATACAAATATATGAAAGCCTTAAGTTACTGTAAGCCGGAATTATGAGAGAGACGAATATATTTTGCCGCGAAATATATTGGGGAAAAAATATCTTGCGCTGCACTCTTAGAGTAAAAACTATCTGTCTTGTTCCCCTGGGCGGAAAAAAATTCTTGCGCAGTCGGAATCTTTCAATCCCAACCCCACCCCACCCACCTCCCCTCAAAAGTCAAATGGTCCGCCCCTTAGCCGGGATGACGTCCAATTCACGCGTGTAGGTGCAATTTGACCTGTAGAATCTATTTCTGGCATTTGCAAGGTCATAGCTGTACTTACCCGTGCTGTATATGTTTTGTTTGGTGAAGATTGATCACTGTTCGCATAGCAAGAGACTTGGACAAAATCATCGTTGGGGCGCGAAGGGACGGAGAAATAAGAAAACTTGAAAGCTTGCGCGTGGTCTACGAGATCGTCTGTATTCAACACCTCATTAGAAAAGAAACCATCAGCTAAACTGTGCATACCACCGACCAAGCAATGCATATCAGCCGACCACCAGTGCCCTAGCTGATCACGAAGATACTGCACCAACGAATTTTCAAGGAATGGAGTATAGGTAAATACAGCATAACTTCGCACTGCATCGTTGGACCATGGCAACAGTTTAGCAAGGGTGTCAACATCTAAATCCTGTCGATCTTCTTCAAGAACCTTTGCATAAATTGCATGAATATTGCTTCGGAGGAAGCTTTCCAATGTAAACTGACTCCAGATGTTAATCCACCTTTCCCACACATTGATTTCTTCATCAATATCTGTTGCATTGTTCAACCACATTTTCAGTTGATCAGTGACAATTTTAGTTGTCTCCGCGTAATATGTACCTAAATATAATTTACATAGGTTACATTATATATAATAATAATATCATACAGGTCCTGTTCTAGTTATAAATTCATTTCTCGTAGATGGTGGCTGTTAGTTATTGCTAATCATATCCCTAATAGTGTTCTTAACCCCGCAAACAGCGTGTATGACATGAATTTATATCTTCCAGCTAAGGGAAAACCTGAAAAACAAACCCGATATGCTGTTTACTGAAATGGCATACATTTCAAAATACTGCCGGTGTTGACTTTTATAATATAAGTATGATATAACAGACGATTTGATTGGCTAATAATTGTGACGCAATTATGGACTGTAATCTGTGGCACTGCCTTGCTCTTTCTTTGTGTTTTTTTCGCTCTTCAATTGCCTTTTAGCCAAATCATAGTTAATAGAGGAGATGGTTTGGAAACTCATTAGCATTACAATAAACCTCACTATCTATATTTTTGTTCAGGTTTATGCAAAAATGTGGTCTTTCATCGTCACGTGCGTTTTGTATTTTTGCTCAACCAGCCAATAGCAACGGTTTTGTCCAATTGTCCATCCATGACTTTAACAATAGGACATTTTGAACATTCCTATTGGTTGAGTTGAGAAAAATACAATACGCACGTGACGATGAAAGACCACATTTTTGCATACTGCCTGAACAACATAGATAATGAGGTTTATTGTGATTTTATTGTAATGCTAACGAGTTTCCAAACCATCTCCTCTATTAACTATGGCCAAATATACAGAATAAACAAAACTATAGAGCTTTTAAAATTTATCAGAAAGCAAGAAGGAATAGAGCAAAGGAACAAGGCAATTTTCTATGCACGGTTCTATGTGTAAAATTAACCGCCTTGACATGTACATTTGTCGAATTTGTTGTTGTCTCGACAGGCTTTGGGCAAACGCGTGCCGAGAGCTGTGAAAAAACTTACACGAATACCAAAAACATAGAAAAAGGCAACACCAACTGAAAACAAGGATTTAGAAAGTAGCTTCAATTCTTCTGATCGATAACAACTGCTAGATATATTTTCCGCGAAAGACAAAAAATACAATAATTTCGAAAATTAGCAACGCCACGAAACCTACTATTTACCGTCTTTCATGATAAATCCAGCAGCTCAGATGCTGAAAAACTTTTGCAAATTAGTCTGTGTATCACTGTTTTTATTTACATCGTTTTAAACTATTTTAGCGGCTTTATAGCATCAAAAGTTTGTATTGTTTTGGTAGTTTTGCTCCTACGCTCGCTTAAAAATTCAAGCGACAATAAAAGCATGCGTGTGACGTCACTGAGTACATGTTAGGAGAATTTCAACGTCGATTTTTCCGGTAAAATTGTTTCCTATGTAATATTTCTACAGTACTTGCATTATAACAGGAATAGGAAACCTCATCTCGTGCGTTTGTAGTGCGATAATGCACTCGAGGAATGATGGAAGAATACTCGAGAAGCGTGTAAAATACTCGGCTACGCCACGTGTTTTTACACGCTTCTCTCCTATTCTCCCAACATACTCCTCCTGCATTATCACACCATAAACGCACGCGGCTCGTTTTCTATTTCTTAAGTAGATGCAGGTAACATATGTAACTCACGTACATATGGCTTCTTCAATTTGTTCCAAGGTGGCTCAATACAGTTTTATAAAATGGAAAATTCGCTATTTAGATCCATATTTTTGGGCAATTGTTACTTGTTTAAAAAGTTTAACAAAGAGTATCTTATTGATGTAAAACATTGTTTTGAATTTTTCCATACACGTTATACAACTGCCATTGTTATGGCAACAAGGACGTTTCAAGTAAGGTGGCGAAAATTTTGGTTTTAAATAATATTTAACACGAAAACGACATCGTTCGCCCAAATTTTATTCCATTAAATGGTTTCTTTTACTGTACTCAACAGAATGTTATTAAAATTGACAAAATGATTGAGATACTTTTAAATATACTTTTTATTTTTCAAAAATACGGATCTAAATCGAAAATTTTTCATTTTCAAAAATTATATCGGGGCGCCTTATAGGGTTCAATTGTAAGTATAGGTAATAGCATGGTTTCGAGTGCAATTTGGATATAACATGCACGAGTGAGTTTTTCAAAGACCTCAAAATAGCACGAGTCCGAAGGACGAGTGCTATTTGAGGTCTTTGAAAAACTCACGAGTGCATGTTTATCCAAATTTCACGAGAAACCATGCTATTACTTATAAATAATTTACATAAAAATGTTCGCGACAATTGTAGTTCTAACTTACGCGTTTATAGCGAGCATTCCACTGGCAAAGTTTTCCAGGCTTTGTTATATCACATTATACAACGCTAACAGCTTGAAAATTCCACTCAACTATGTAATTTTTGTTAGTCTTGTTTAGGTAAATGCTTTTCTATTTAAAAATAAAGATAAAAGCCATATTTTCCACGCGAAGGCAACATTTACTTTGTGTAGCGCGGCGCCATGTTTTGTTTTGTTTTGAAGCAATCTGTGACCGTTACTTCTTTAAACTAAATTGCTTTAAACTGATTGGTTGATTTAATCATCACAATGTTTTTCCACCAATCAGATCAGTTTGTTACAGATTTTTGCACTGTGATTACAGAAAATTGCACTGTGATTACAAAAAATTGCACTGTGATTACAGAGAATTGCACTGTGATTACAGAGAATTGCACTGTGATTACAGAAAATTGCACTGCTGTTTGAAAACTGTGGGAAAATGTGGATACTGTATAGTTGACAGGGCAGCCAATTTTTTTTAGCGAATTATTTAATGGAATAATATCATGATTGGGGGTGTTCCCTTTGTTCTTGCAAGGCAATTAAAAACTAATATACCTCATGATATTCATTTTTTCTAATCCTACCCGCTTTTACGTCATGTCAGGTAGGATTAATTCTAATCCTAGCCGATACGACGTCAAAGCAGGTACGATTAGAAAAAAATGAATATAAATGAAGATATCTGAAATCGCCAAAACTAAACAAAGACATGGAAAACAATTATACCATTTAATTTATAAATTATTTATTGTTAATTGGTTTTTAATGGCCCTGCGAGAACAAAGGGAATACCCGCAATCATGATATTATAAGGTAATAGCATAAAAAGAGGCGAATTAGCTATTGAAAACGTCCCGCCCGATGAGGGTCGTTTAGTAAAATTCCCTTGGGCGCCGCTCGATTCGGGTCAATTTAGAATTTTACTAAATGACCCTCATCAAGCGCCGCCCAAGGGAATTTTACTAAACGACCCTCATCGGGCGGGACGTTTTAATAGCTAATTCGCCTCTTTTTATGCTATTACTTATAATAATGGTAACCTTTTCGCTATCGGACTGCAACTGCATAATACCGGCTACACTTATACGTTTCAAGTCTGTACTTACCAATATCATTAATAATTTCCTTCATGTCGTTATGCATTCCATCCTTCCAGTTGGGCCACACTCTATTAAAATACTGTTCCTCCCATCCTAAACATGATATGTTAGATAAATAAATAAATAAATAAATAAATAAATAAATAAATAAATAAATAAATAAAAAGTCATGCAATAATTGAATGTCACCGCAGCCAGGCCTATAGTATCCGGGCCGAAAACAATTTCGTAAAGTTTTCATACATCACGGAATCATTATCCTTTAGCGATGACATGCATCATCCATTATTGAACGACATTGGTTAAGGGTTTTGTCGTGACATTTTCTTTTTCCAGAGCCATGCGCGGATCGCGCTTGGCAAAGTGGATGGGAAAAACGATATCAGATTGAAAATGTTATCATGCATGGATTGATACATATATATCGCTGATCTCAACAATACGGAGACATATTGTAGTTGCAATGACAAATATGTATATGGAACTATTGAGGTTTATAATCCACCCGGCGACTACATTTTCTCTTCCACATTCATTTGTCTTGAATGATTGAATAGTCATGCTTCTGTTTTGATTGTTCGCGAACTTAAATTTGCCCCCACTTTGTAGTTTCCGCACATGCGCAGCTATGTTTTCGCGGTGTTTATCTATGACATAATTCAGAATGATCTTGAATCTAGGTATGTTTTACTTTTTACCGCTATGCATGCGGTGTGCGGTGTGCTTGCGCGTATCTGTGGCCCAAGGATTGTGATAAAAATTCTCATTTAAATTAGTGGATAAAGATCATGACGTTTTTCCATGCGATATTTATAAATTATAGACCCTGTTGCGCGGAACTTGTGATTCAACCACCTGGTTCATTCAATAAATGCTCAAGAGACTGCATATTTTATGATTTTATTGATTGTATTATGTGAGAAATAGTATTTAGCTACAACGTGAGTTTTAGACCGTTAAACATTACGATTGTCTCGCTACGATCTATAACAGCAACAATCTCATTCAATCACTTCCTATAATACCCTACCAAATTACCCTACCAAATTACAATGTGTCACTGTGACGCATTTTACACAAACAAAGACTTATGTACGATTTAGTTTTAATTACGTCAATCACAATATTGATATATTACATAGGATAGAACTTTATTTGACTACGCTGACCACTTCAACCGAAGCTGCTTTCCAAGTGGGGCGTAGATATTAATTTATAATGTTACAAATATATATCAAATACAAAATCGCTAAAAATATTAAGAACTACGAATACAAAATACATATTACAAAACAAATAAGAGAGGAAATATTCCTATTGAAAGAATTTAAAGATTCGCTGTTCAGTCTTACTTGTTCAGGAATGGTACTCTAGATTTTAACCCCACTATATCGGAAACATTTTCCGCCATACTCGGTATTTGGTCGTAGCAGAAAAGAGACGAATTTGAACTTCGAAAATAAATAACTGTGGATATGATTGGAATTCTGGAACATTGATGTTCCAGAACCTCGGCGGTGCTAAATTATTGACAACCTTAAACATGAGCCGGGTCATAATATGTTTTCGCCTTTCTTCCACGCTTATCCACCCTAATCGATCAAGGGCCAGTTGAGATTGCCCAAGTTCATCTTTGAAGTTCATCATAATTCTAGCACATCTGTTATGAAGTTTTTGTAGTCCATTCAGACTGGTTTCTGCTAATGGAATTCCAAACTTCGCAACAGTAGCCGAAATGAGGTTGGACAAGTCCATGATAGACTGACATGAAATTAACGGAATCAGTAATTCAATCATTTGTTTTTTTATTGCACTTATTACAGAAGAGATTTTTTTCGAAATATGGTCAATATGACTGTCCCAAGTTAAAAATTGATCAACTTTGACACCAAGAGCTTTTTTAACCTGAATCCCTTTAATTGGTTAATACTCAATAACAATACGCGGTTGTTCTTCCAGCGAGCTAAAATTGCACCATGATACAATCAGAAGATATTCCGTTTTGACTAGGTTAAGACAAAGCCTGTTTGATAGAAGCCATTCTCTAATATTATTGAGATCAGCATTAACGACCACCTCAGGTTCTTCAATTGATTTACCGGACACTGTGATGCTAGTATCATCGGCGAACATTCGTGCCGTATAGAGTGTTGTAAGAGGTTCGGTGAACGATTGATATAAATTAAAAACACAAGTGGACCAAAAATTGAACCCTGGGGAACTCCATATTTTAGAAATTTTAACGTGAAAAGTTCCCCATTTACTTGACCTTGCCGAGATCGATCTGATAAGTAAGATTTGAAAAACATAAGGGGTGTATTCTTGATACCATAAACATGTAACTAGAGTTTGGGCAGTAATATGTTGTGGTTTACCGTATCAAACGCTTTTTATAAATCAAGAAAATATTTACAGTTGAATGAACTGGCGGCGCTGCTCTGGGAACCTACGACAGACCCGGAGCGAGAGAAAAATTCGGCGGAATATTACCCAGTTAGGTTAATTAATATTTCGCCGAATCCTCTGAGCGGAAGGCCAGCTATAAATGATAATTTATTCCGAACGTTAAAGAACCAACAAAGTTGAGAATAATCTTGTTGAATTAAGCGAATACAACGCGACTAATAACTATTCTATTTATACCGGTAGAATTGACGTTTCCTCTATAAACTAGTTGCATGAACCATGCATATCATTTGGATAATTAAAGGTAACTCCTAATATGCACGTGAAGTTCCCATGGTTTTAATGGCCGATTGAAAGACGTAATAAATTAATTTGATTTTATTTATGGACGTGAAGTTCTCGAGGATTTAATGACCGATTGAGGGTCCTAAAAAATTTAATAATTGGAATTCATTTAATGGACTTGAATATGAAACTATCATTGGTAGATTTTGTTAGAGTTTTGAGGCAAATATTTTAAGAAAGCGTCTTTAGATTTAGTAAAACATTATTCATATTCTTGCTTGCTTCTAAGGGAATGTATTTGTGCTCCTGGTAAAGGTACTTCTTTTAATTACATTTTCACAAATGTTTATTCAAGTTAAAATATCAATAGGTCAGCCATAACTGCACGAAAATCTAATTCTTGAACACTAAAATTTAATTGACGACCTTCTAAATTATACTGTAACAAAACTTAGTTGAATGTGATATGTGGCTATTCTATATTCATAATAACATTTTTAAACCAAGCAGAGTAAAGTGTGTAAGTTTATAAAAGCAAAAATGGCAGTAGCGTACATACCGCTGGATATTTCTGTCGGAAAACCATAAATATGGGTTAACCCATTTGCATCGTAGTTTCGAAACGCTTTGATAGGAAGGTTAAACTCCTTAATATAAGCATCTGTTAAAAAGTGTGGTCTTTCGGTTGTACCAGAAACATCACCAGGCAATCTCATAGCTCCAGCTAAAAGATAAAAAAATATTTATTTAATTAAACATGGCCTTTTAATATAAGTTTTGCATACCAAATAAGCTTTCGCGCTTTCTGATTGGCTAGTTGACCAGTAAATCTGACGCAATGTTTACTAGCAGACTATAGTAGATAATTGGATTTATGAAACTAATGATCCGGCAAGCTTGATTTCAAAATCGAAATATTCCAAAAATTGTCTCCAGAAAACTAAAAAAGCACAACATGTTGTGTTTTTAACTTGAAATAGGAATCATTTTTTACTTCGCTGTGCAAACCCATATAGACAATCCAGAAGACAGGGACTGGAAACGCAAGCAACAATGCTAATGTTGTTGATGTGCATGCATCCGGGATACGCTTTTATCGCGTCAGAGTTATCTGTTGCCACGGCAACCGCCTGAAATTAGAACAATAAAGACAGACGGTAACGTTCTATTCTTTTTACCTATTTGTTATTACTTGTATGCCCAAAATATAGGATTTTTTATGCGATGATAAGCAGATAATGATTGTCAAGGTATGTACGTTTCAAAATTTTTAATTTGAATTGTAATTAGCAATCATAACTTTAGTTTTGTCATAGCGTTTGCGTCTAGATCAAAATGGCGCATTAAACGTACTCGTACCTACGTAGTTCATTTTAGAAACTGTAACTTGAAGATAACGCAACCACCTATACTTACAGCATATAGTTATCATCGTAGATGCTATGTTAGTGCCGCTAGGGTAGCTATAACTTTCTGCGATATACCAATTTTGTGCAAAACAACATTTTTCATCCCACTTGTGCGACTGCAAGAGGATCGTATCGCCATTTTTGTTGTCCTCACTTGGAACCCTGTAACTATAGTTTGCACTACTTTCACTAAGTTAGTTATTTTGAACAGAAAAGGAAGTGCGAATACCACTATCGATTGTTCGAACTTCTTTCGAGTTTAATGACGCCAAAAATCGCGATTGAAGCCTGCGTACTGTTTTTGATTACAAAAAAAGAAGCCATTGTTGTTGTCAGAGAACGCTTGCACCGTTGCACCCACTGGGAACCCTGTATCTAAGGTTTAAATGCAGTTCAGGATTTTTTATTTACATATTCTGAACAAAAATAGAAGTGTGAATACCACTAGATCACTTTTTTAGACTTCTCTTAGGGACTGATCATAAAGTAACTGCTAGGGTGTGCTGGAGATATCTCACAAATTTTGCCAATAAGTTTGGTGACCCATCTTAGGATGTAGACAAAAATTTCAAAGCCCATCTAATCTTACCAAATTTATTTCATAACCCACCCCCACCCAATTTAGATTGGGAAAATACACTTTTATAATAAAAAAAACTTGCAGGTATGAACATTGTAAATATACACCGGCACTGTATTGACATACATAATTAATTCCACCAAGCTTGACTGACCAACACACATTCATCACCAATTACGATACTGAGCTGCTCTCCAATTGGTTGTATTTGCTGTGATTCGATCACTTCTTGTTGTTGTATAAAACAAAGTACTGGCTACAATAGCATCATTTGCATTTGATAATTTGGATAGTTTTGTTTACTTTTATTATTATTTGAAGTAGACATGGGTTTTTGTTTGGTGGCCCAACCGTGGACATACAAAAAAATTGGCGGCCCATCTCAACTGCCCAAAGATTTTCCATGGCCCATCCCAAATCACTCCAGCCCACCCTAGCAGTTACTTTATGACCGGTCCCTTAGTGCTAGTATTGGGATTAACGGAGCCAAAAATACCGATTAAAAGTTTGCAAATTGTTTTATGTACTGTTTTTGAATACAAAAATGGGCATATTCTCACAACAACATTAGCGACTTTTCAGCAGTAGTGGTCGAAAAAGTACGCAAGCTTTCAATCCCGATTTTTTGCAGCGTTAAGGAGCGTTTCTTTTGTAAATCTAGATTTGGATTTTTAGGATTCGGATTTTTTGGATTCGTTAAAGGACAATAGCAACCCAAATTTTTATTACCTATATCTATTAGGTATACTTACGGAATATTTAATTTTATATTTTGGCCGGTTTGTCGCGTTTAGTTTTTGAGAAAATTTGATAAAAATTTCAACAGTTGTCCGCCATTTTGAAATTAAACGCGTATGCTAATTTATGCCACAAAATACATTATCTTATGTCATTAGCTGTGTAAACACAATTTCATGACTATAAACAACACCGAGTATTACCACGCGTGGTGCACTTTGAGCCAAAACAAAAGGCAGAAAAGTTTTACCAAGTGTGCAACTTGTTTGTAACACTATTTCTCATAGTATATATCCTACTCCGTGTTAAATAAACGCAGAAATACGAGTGTAACAAGGCAAACACTAAAGCAATATTTTATGATCAATTACCCGTATTGTAAATTGCGCCATTCCTTGCTTTCCCAGTCGCTCGATATGTTTTTATCTGATAGTGTAAACTTCTCTTGTTTGATTGCGAAGAGTGTTGGCCAGTAGAACGTTCAAAAATGACATATTTTTAGCTAACATAACACGCACGCAATAGAATTCTCTCTTGTAGTTTTGGTGCTGCCCATCTAATGACGTCACAAAGTTCATTGACCTTCGAGATAATTTTTTCAAAATTTTTTCCAGGATGGCGGCGAAACAAATTTATTTATTCATAGATTAAAATGTTCGAGAAGGAAATGATAATATTTTCATTGTTGGGTCGTGAAGTAGAATTGAAATAGGCAATAAAAATGTTCGTTGCCATTGTCCTTTAAACAATGGAACGAGGTGTGAGAATCGGAATTTGCCTGCTGTTTTCCCGCCATTTTTACAATAAGTTTTCTGTCCCACTATGCCTTTCGGTCGGGTCAAGGTACATGCTAGAAGGCTAGAAGCTCAAAATGAACGTTGAATCCTAATCAAGCTATAGTTTCAGATTGAACCCGAAAAATCCATATGTTGAGGTCGATTGATCAGATTCGAATCTATTTTAAGATTTTGTTAAATTAAACTGAAAATCGATAATCGGATTTGAAGATCCAAATCCGGATTGCACTAAAGGAACGCACCCGTTAAACCGCAAGAGAAGTTTAAAAGAGGGATATTAAATAGCGGTATTCACACTTTTATTTTAATTTGTTCAAAATATGTAAATAAAAGATCCTAAACTGTATTTAAACCATTGCCACAGGCTTCCAAGTAGGTCCAAGTGTGAAAGCGTGCAACAACAATGGCTTCTTTTCATAGACAAAAACAGTATACTCCAGCTTTCAATCGCGATTTTTATCATCATTAGACACAGAAGAAGTTCGAAGCGATGGTGGTATTCACACTTTCATTTCGGTTCAAAGTATATATGCAAACAAAAAATCGTAAAAGTCATTTAAACTATACTTAGAGGGTTAAGTTCTAAGTGAGGACAACAAAAATGTCGATCGTATTGTAGTCGCACAAATAGTGCGATGAAAAAATATTGTTTACAAAATTGGTATATTGCAGAAAGTTGTAACTGCCCCAACGGCATTAAAATTACATCTACGATGATAAGTGTATATGCTGTATGAGATAAGTGGTAGTTTTATCTTCAAGTTATAGGGTTACAAAATGAACTACGTAGGTGCGAGTATTTTTTATGTCCGCCATTTCGATGTAAAAGCCATGACAAAACTAAAGTTATGATTAAAGCAATTACTAGAAATACATGCATGCAGCAACCCCGCCCCTATATTTTCCAAATATTGACTTACATGAAGTACTGTAGTGGAATTTATTTAAACTCCAAAACGTTCTCTTCAAAATTCTCTGCTTAGTTTAGCAAAACCCGTCCCTACTGCTGAGTGACAAAAATAAACCTTGCCGTAATATTCTTTTGAAACCATTATCTGAGATTGTACGAGAGTTTTTCTTTCGATTTACGTCATGTTTTTATTGTGCTGTACGGTGCCGATCACGCTGTATTGTGCTAAAACTTGTCAAGTGAAAAGTGTATTCTTGATGAAAAATACATCTACTGTAGGTACTATACTAGTACACTTTACTATACTAGTACCACATACACTTTACCTTCGCCATATAAACCAGGTGCAAGATTTGATTCCAAGCCATAAGTAAATACTCTCCCACCATAACGTTCTGTCTGCTCCAGAATGATCACTGAAAGCCCTGCTTTCTTCAACTCATACGCTGCAGAGAGACCTGCCATACCTGCCCCGACAACAATGACGTCATAATCATACGCGACATCTTCAGGTGCTTTAAGATAGGCACTTTCTGGAGGAGGAGGACGAGGTTCGTCGTCACCATATACGTCATAAGCCGTGTCTAACCCATCTGACTGAATTAGAAGCAGAAAGTCCTTTAGATAGTCGCTCTGCTGAATAACTTCACTTCCTTCTAGAATTCTTCTCTTCAGTGGCTTCGCGTTTGCCCAAAAACGCCTATGGTCTAATAGGTACGACGTTGCCATTTTTTTATGCTAATTGAATGTATAAGAAGGGCATAAAATATATTATGTTTAATTTTAAATATTTTGTAGAAAAAAACTTCGAGTGGAAATTTCATGTATTTATTAGATATAATCAGGTGCAGTTGCAGTTGCGAGAAATGTAACTATTGGCCTTTGCATGGCGGGAATCGATCCTGCGCCTATGCCTGCGAATCCGGTGCACCGCTCTAAGCAAACGTGCTACAGAGAAACAGATGTTCAGCTCCAGCCACAAGTTCATGTATTAATATTAAACTGATGCTAATGAACTGTGTATGGGCAAATATATCAGGATTTGGGGCATCTCACTCGAACTATCACCAGCAGTATTTTGGATCAACTTATCGTTATAGCTCGACAACTGTCTCTCTGTAGCTCAGGCCTAGTTGTTAGAGCGCTATTCAGCCTATAGCACTTCGAATTAAATTGCAGGGAGACAAGTTCTGTACCTGCCAGAGGGTTGATAGTTGCATTTTTTGCAACTACTCCTGATTAATTACAATAAATTTATAAAATTCTCACCCGAAATTTCCATCTACAAATTCTTCAACAATTAGTTATATCGCACTTCCCGTCAAACATGTGATGCAAATGGCCATGTCAGTTCCAGAACAGGCAAGAATTGTTGTTCATGTCAGCTTTTATATATATATATGTATATATATATATATATATATATATATATATATATATATATATATATATATATACAGCTGAAAAATAGGACTTTGTCGAACTGGCATATTAAAGAAAATTTCAAGGAATATACTGCAAGCACTATTTCAAGCATTATAACGACTGCATGACGACAGCGAAATTGATTTGATGATTTCTTGCAAATATATTTCATTTTCATATATTTCATTTTCAGAAGTTTAACATGAAGCATTTGTGTAATTGGCCACTGACACTAAACTGATTTTCCCATTGTAAATCAATGCTTATTTCCTCAAAGCAAAATTGCTTGAAAGCTCATTGAAACAATTTACATATATATATATATATATATATATATATATATATATATATATATATATATATATATATATATATATATATATATATATATATATATATATATATATATATATGTATATATATATATATATATATATATATATATACAGCTGAAAAATAGGACTTTCTCGAACTGGCATGTTAAAGAAAATTTCAAGGAATATACTGCAAGCACTATTTCAAGCATTATAACGACTGCATGACGACAGCGAAATTGATTTGATGATTTCTTGCAAATATATTTCATTTTTGCAAGATTTTGTAAATTTCAAAAGATTTTTGATGAAATAAAGGCAAAAGAATTGCTAAAAGAAGGCAGTAAAGGTGCCGACGTTAACGAAGGTAAGTTTGTTTTAAATATTGATACATTGTTTGCTTTTAATATATACTGTAATTACTTTAAAAGCCGATCGTTGCGTATAAGTATGAAACAAGACAGCGTATTATTTCAGTGTTTCTTTATTGATTACCCTTTTCATTATGCTAAGCAAAGTTATTTGCATGGGAGAATTTGGAATCATTTTATTTCGAACTCAAAGTTTATCGATAAAGGCAGTTTAGTTCTATATTAAAAGAACACTTTAAATCGTTTTGCGAAGCGTTTGTGGTTGAATTTTACCTTAAATTGAAGCTTACAAAATTGGTAATTTGTAATTAAAAGAGATATTTTTAGGGGGTTTTTCATTTGTAAAAATATGCTTTAAAAAATATCGTGTTACCATGACAACTACTTTAAATACTTCACGTTCGGAAAATACAATGGTTTTGTCAGCAAGGCGAGGGTTTCTGCATGCATGTATTTTCTAGTTGGTATGCGGTATTTTCGTGATGTGAAATGAATCAGATTTCTGGTAATGGTGATTCGCTTCCAAACATCATATCGGCAATTGCATTAAAGAAGCTGGGACACCACAACAGCTTAACACAAATAACAGTGGGCCCTTTACAAAATATAAATATAAATATAGAAAAAGACAAATATGATATAGCGATAATAAATTTATTAAAGGACGAAGTTTCGAAGTCATCTTGACCTCGTTCTCAAGTTCAAATTATTAAAAAAACAATTAAATTAATATTAATAGCGTTTACAAATAATTGCGCAAGCAAACTAATTCGTCATATATGACAGTTGCAATTTTAGGCACTCTATGTGGTCCGAAGGAGTTCTTTTTAGCGAAGAACCGAGGAGTGAAGACAATTTTCTCAAAACGATGCATTCATACATTAACTCAAAACGATACTCACAAAGTCGAAAATCTAGCCAATCGATACTAAAGATACTAGAATACAGTGAATTGACTTCAACGGACTTATTAATTGCGTAAAAACAAATATATACATAAAATAGCACTGGCCAGTGCTTTTATGTTCCACATATATTCAGTTATTCTTCGAAATATATAAATTTAAATATAAATACCATAACATACAACTCGTCCTTAAATTAAACAGAAAAAATAAAAAGATTCCTTAAACGGCAGTTTAAAGCATGATTTCAAGCCTAAATTCGGTCAAATATTATTCATAAATGTTGCAATGAACAAAAGGTTTTCGGCATCTATAAAAATTTGTAGTTGTGTGCCAAAAAGTATTTTTCAGGAATGTTCGTATAAGTACAATTATACGGAAACTAAATAATTTTAATTAGTTTGCCTTCTGTATTCTTTTGTGCGTTGAGGAGAAAAGCATATACTGCATTGAAACCATAAAGGCTTTTTATTAAAGTTATTATCCAGTTTTTGTGCTTAGCCTACGCATGCGCGGCTAACTACAATGTGAAAAACCATAAAAGTGTCGTCGTTTGACAGTGCTTAGCCTGGGCATGTGCGAAATTTTGTAGTTCAAGATACGAAAGAGCCGTTGGTTTATGAAAATTTGTAGTTAAAGGCATACTCTTATTCGTTTGAGCATAATCAGACCAGGTCGATATCGTCGATTTACTTTGGAGGTTAATGTGTAATATTCAGTGCATGCTATATAGATGAAGATACCACCGTTCGACTCAGCGAAACAATAGACAGATTTAGATCGAGGACGCGGACGTCAAAGACGACGTGAAAATGGCATGTTGTGTCCACGTATGGATATGCCACGCCATTTTGACGCCATTTTCACGTCGTCGTTGACGTCCGCGTCCTCGTTCTAAATCTGTTTAATTCCTATCAATAGTTTTAGTATAATGTCAACATTATAGCGATTTACGACCTTTAGAGGTCAAGTTATACCATACTTCATTAGATTACACAATTTTCCCCAACAAAGTATACACAGTATTATTAAAGCATACCTTTCGCCGAACATAACTTCGGCCCTTTCAACATGCATACTTTTTCGTAATAGCCTTGTTCGAATCACAATCCAAGACACTATTCAGAATGTTATTTTCAAGCTTGTATCTACCGATTTGCATCTTGAATTTTGGTATTTCAGAATATCCAAATTTTTAGCGATAGCTTCAACAGGAAATACAAATTGAATTGTCGAAACTGCGATGTTTACATCCTAGCACTCGGAAGACGTCGTATATCGATTCTGAAGGTTAAATTACTCCTGAAGCGTGGCCGAAGCTATGTTCAGCGAAAGGTGTGGCTAGTCCATATTTTTGTTCAGACATTTGATTAATTTGATAATATACAATCTCGCTCAACTTTTAGAGGCCATAAATTGCTACAATGTTGATAATGACTAAAACTATAGAAATGAGTTGATATTGTTTCACTGAATCGAATGGTGGTATTAATGTCTTCATAGCATGCAAATATATGAACATGCAAAGTTTGTGGCTTCTATAGTGACCTATGATGCTTGGAACTGGGCAAGAAAAAGCCGTTTACGGCGAAATAGTAGAGTTCATTTAATATTTTCCAGTTTGTTTTTAAAAATGTTGCTGTATTATACGGTCTCTGGCTTTAACGATAAAGAATGAACAATAAAAATTTTATGGTTCAATGGTTGAAAAATCAACCAAGATGGCCTCGATTGCAAACGAGCGATTATTTTACTTATTTTCAACGAAATTAGCTACAAGCTATACCAATTGCCAATCCTATAGGCTAACCACATGTGCGCAATACGTACATGTTTTTTATCGCGTCGTTTTACAAACGCAACCGATCTCAAATGTACTTTGGAACTCGAATTTTATTGGAATTGATCATATAACCATGAACCATCAAATAAAAAAATAAACACGTTATTTGTATAGGTAAGCATGCGATGGCGAGTACAATTAGGAATTAATAGTACGAGTGATGTTTGGAAATTTTGCCAAAATTGGACGATCCGCCGGGGCGAGTCCAATTTGGCAAATTTCCAAACATCACGAGTACTATTAATCCCTAATTGTACGAGCAACATCGCATGATTACTTGTTTATTATTAGCATGACAAACTTGGATACGTAGGCTACTTCTCAATGTCTACATCATATTCTCTCGCCAAAGCCCAGTCCTGCCAGACTTTCAACCAAAATTTGGTGCTTTTGTTTGTATTTTCATTTAGTTCTTTTAAAGCAAAATTTGGTGCTTTCACTCGTATTTTCATCTAGTTCCTCCACTGCAATTTCATTTCACATTTGTGTTTAAAATACCTTTCCGCCATTTTGTTTGTTTCGGGAAAATCATTAATTGCACTGCAGTACAATTAATGATGGTAATAACAGGTGGGAAATTTGTCTGAGCATGCGCGAGCAAATTGAAAAACACAATTGCGTGGAATACACGCAACGTGTGTTTACAAAAAGGCACAATCGTGTAAATATTGCCAAATGTTTGTACAAAATAAATGATTGTTTTATGTTGAAAATGGACATGATCTAAATTAATCATACAGAATTTTTTAGTGACGTTCTATTTCAGTACCCTGCCATTGTCTCTGGTGGGCTGTCCGTGTGCATTCGATCTGAAACAGTCGCTACTATGTTGTCGAAAAATTTCGAATGTTTACATGAAAATAGGGGCAAG